TTGCAGGCTACCTGGGTTACTCCAGCGGCTTCTCTCTCAGCTGCATGGTGTTCTTCCTAATTGCAGTGAGTCACCCTCTGCTAGTGGAGGGAGGGGGCAGGTCCCTCTGGTAAACCTGTGTCAGAAGGCGGCTGCTCCCATCCTGATCTATGTGGCTGCAGAGTGACTTACCAGACAGCATAGCCTGGCCCTGATACCCTCCTCCTCACCCCCACCCCCAGGTCATCTACAAAAAGTTCCATGTGCCCTGCCCGCTGCCCCCCAACTTTGTCAACATCACAGGCAACATCAGCCTAGTGGAGTTCGTCAGGGAGGAGATGCAGCTGCACAGGGAGACTGACGCTGTAGCTTTCTGCACCCCAAGATACTTCACACTCAATATACAGGTTCTGACCGGCCGGGGTCGGGGCAGCGGCCCACTGAGAGTTTTGGGGCTGCCCTGACACAGTCCCCATGTTCCCCCAGACAGCATACACCATCCCCATCATGGCCTTCGCCTTCGTCTGCCACCCTGAGGTGCTGCCCATCTATACAGAGCTCAAGGAGTAGGTTCCATGGCTGGGAGAGGGGGCGGGGCTGCCTTGAGCTGGTTTGTGGGGAAGGGACATGGTCCTGAGAGGGGCACGGGAGTGACAGGAGCCAAGTCATTTAATCAAAGATCTCTCAAGCTGCTGTGGGTGGCACTGGGGACAAGAAGGAAGCTTCCTTGTGGACAGATGGTGAGGGTGTGGTGCCAGAGACCCAGGGCACGTGAGAATTTCCCAGTGCGGTCCAGCCCAGCACCAATCTCCTCCTCTGTCTCCCACAGCCCCTCCAGGAGGAAGATGCAGCGCATCTCCAATCTGTCCATCGCCGTCATGTATGTCATGTACTTCCTGGCCGCCCTCTTCGGCTACCTCACCTTCTACGGTATGGCTAGGCAGAGACAGAGGCCAGGCTGGGGGGCAGGGGGCTGGCCAGTTGCCATGGCACCCTGCATGCTATAGGTGCTCATTAGGTGAGTGACGCCTAACTGTGTCCTGCCGCTGTGGAGGTGAGTCTGTTGCCACACCCCACAGCGTCAGGGTCGACTCGGTTCAGAGCCCCACCCCCTGCCTGGGCTGCCTGCTGACCACCCTCCCTGCCCACCACAGACGGGGTGGAGTCGGAGCTGCTGCACACCTACAGCAAGGTGGACCCATTTGATGTGCTGATGCTGTGTGTGCGCGTGGCTGTGCTGACGGCAGTCACACTCACAGTTCCAATCGTTCTGTTTCCGGTGAGCCAGTGGGCAGGTGGCCAGGCGGCCAGACCAATGGGGGGTGGGACCGATGGCGCTGACGGACTGATGACCCTCCCCCAGGTGCGCCGTGCCATCCAGCAGATGATGTTTCAGAGCCAGGAGTTCAGCTGGCCGCAGCACACGCTCATTGCCATTATCCTGCTCACTTGTATCAACCTACTGGTCATCTTCGCCCCCAACATCCTGGGCATCTTCGGGATCATCGGTGAGGGCCCAGCCCTGCTGGGTGTTGCCCCAGAGAACTTACCTTCTGCAAATCCTGGCAGACTCCTGAGCTCGTACCCTACAGTTGAGCAATGGCCGCTGGCCAGGGGCACGACTTACCCTCCTGTCTGGGATTTTGTCGGGAAGGCTATTGCGATCCCCACTGAGGGCTCAGAACCACTGAGTCAGTTCCCCTTGCTGGGGCACGGGGTGGAGCCCAGAGTTCAGAGGCCTCCACGAAGGAGGGTCTCATCATTAGGTCTTATCCCCATTTCACGCATGAGGAAATTGAAGTTCAGAGCGATTAAGGGAGTAGCAAATCCATATAGCTGATAAATGGGACGCCTCGATTCAGCCCTAGGATCATGGGAATACAGGTTTGGTGCTCTGTTTACTGTCTCAAACCAGTTGGGGCTCTGAGCTGGAAGGGCAGCAATTCTGAGACATATTTGGGATGACCCAACTCAAGAGACTGACCCCCTAACCCAACTCTGCAGGGACCAACACACAGACTGGGGGTTGAGTATTATGGATATCGTGAACAGGACTCTCACTCGTGTATGTCCAAAATCTTACTCAAAATGAATTAAGCAGAAAAGAATACATTGGCTGAAATCATGGAAAAGCCTTCAGGAATAGCTAGATCCAGGCGCCCAAGATCCTTAAGGCTCCATCTCGATCTTGTGGCTTGCCTCTCCTCTTTGCTAGCTTCATTCACTGACAGATTCTCCTGACTCCAACAGCCTTAGCCTTCCACCCTGGTGGGCAGAGAGCAAAGGGAGGGGCTAGTGGGCTCTCCAGAATCCCACGGATCTTTCAAGTAGAGAGAATCTCAAGCTGAGACCCCACCCCCAACCAGGAGTGTCTGATCTCATTGAAGGGCGCACCCTTGAATCTTAGTCCATAGGTGGCTATGAGCCTGCAGTGGCCATGCCTTTTTCTTTGCAGGAGCCACATCCGCCCCATGCCTCATTTTCATCTTCCCTGCCATCTTCTACTTCCGGATCATGCCCACTGAGAAGGAACCTGCAAGGTCCACCCCTAAAATCCTGGTGCGAGGGGCCTGGAGGCTGGTAGGCTTGTGTGGGCTGAGGAGGTTGCCCTGACCCCAGACCTCATCCTGACTTCTGACTCCACAGGCCCTTTGTTTTGCTGTGCTTGGCTTCTTGCTGATGACCATGAGCTTGAGCTTCATCATCATTGACTGGGTCTCAGGCACCAGCCAGCATGAAGGAAGCCACTAGGACACCCCCATCCTGTTCTGTCTTCTTGTCCTAGGAACCCTGCCCACTCTCTTTCACCCTGTGGCCAGTCAGTGGTGAGGAGAAAGATGTGGTTAACGCTATGGCATTTGGCCCTGCCCCACGCCCTCTCTGTGGAAGGTTTTTCTTAAAGAGCCAGGACCAAGGCCCTCGGGCCACTACCTTGCTGGGCTCCCAGGTGGCAGGGTCTTCCTGTGCTGGGAGCGGGGTGGGCTGTGCCCCTGCTCCCCTCCCATTGCCTCAGATCCCACCCGAGCTGCTTATCCTCCTTACACAGAGGCACACACTGAGCTCACGCAGCCTACAGGGGCACATAGAGCTGGAACCCAGGCCTGCAGCCCTTCCCCCCGCCTCGTTGCTGGGCCACAGTCTGCACCCTGGGGCCCGGCTCCCTCAGCCCCCTCGCCCTCCCTCCTTTTGTCCCCTAGGTCCCTTGCAGGCATTTGGCCTCGGTTCCTTGGATACTTTTGTCCCCTTCCTTCATCCCCTCCACCAGGAACAGACCCCACCACCCTATGCCTGGAGCCAGCAGCTTCTTCTGAGGGCGAAGCTGGTATGGGTACCCCGAAGGGGCCCCCGCCCTGCCCTTTCCCCAGTCCTGGGGAGGCTGGGACTCCACCCCAAGCCTGAGCTGCAGCCTACATTCCACTGCCGAGGGAAGAGAGAGGCCGAGGCCCAGAGCGTCTCCGCCTCTGGGAGACAGAGACCCCGGGGGCCAGCCTGGGAGAGGCTGGTTGGCAGCCCCCTTTTATAAATATTATACATGAGACCAGCTGTGTTTTATATTCTTGATCTCCATGGTCCCCGTGTTCCTGGAAAGCGGAATGGGAGCTGGGACATGGATGGCGATGGAGGCCACTCCGGCTTCTTTGCCTGGGATGAGGGTGGGGACAGGGTGAGTCTCCTACCCCACCCCGCCCCCTGCCTCGCAAACCAACCAGCGGTGTGCTCAGACCCGGCTCTGGGCCTGGGCCAGGCTCAGCACAGACCTGCTTTCTCACGGGGTGAGGTGGGGAGGAATTAATGAGGCCCCAGGAAATGGGACAGAGAGAGGCCTCCGGAAGGAGGCAACGTGAGGTGCATCCCCAGCAGCTCCACGGAGGGTCTGAGCTGGGGGCAGCTGCAGAAGCCCTGCCGAAGGCCCCCTGCCCTCCCCGGCTGCCATGTCAACCCTCTGTCAATGCCACGAGTCTAGAAACAAAAGTCCGGGGACCCTGTACCCTGTCAGGCTGAACGTTGTGTTCACAGCAAAACCCTGAATAACCGTGACTAAAGGTGGGTTAGCGAGTCCCTGTATGGGGGGGCCTGAGTTTTGAGTGGGGGTGTCCAAAGCGGGGCAGGGGCTGCAAGGACGCAGGGCAGCCCCAGGTGCCCTGGCCCGGGTAGCGCTTGGAAGCTGCCCACTGCCCGGGACAGGCCAGAACCAGCTGGGACCCGGAGGGACGGAGCTGCCCGGGCCTTGGCACCAAATCCTCATTAGAAGAGACCCTGCGCCCGGCTAGGCCTCTGAGGAAAGGGCGGCAGGCAAAGTCCAAATCCAGTTTGAACTGGCAAGGAGGCTGTCAGCATGGGAAACCCCTGAAGAAAGAACTTTCCTCAAGCTGGTGGCTGCTAGGCCTACAGAAGTGCCAGCTGGTCAGAGGGGGGCTTCCTGAGTGTGGTTCCCATCAGCCCCAGGCGCCTGACTCTAGCCTGGGGACTCACCCGGGAGCCCCATGGCCCCAGAAAAGAGTTGGACTCTGGCCTGGAGGTGGCTGCAGCCCACAGTGCCCTGGGGTGAAGGGCTGCCCTCTGGGGGTCTCCGGCTTCTTCCTCATCAGATGGGGCTACTGCTCTTCCTGGGACCCCGGGCTGCTGAGGGGTGGGAGGCAATGCAGGTCAAAGTCCATCCTGCAAACAGACCCTGCATCCAAAGAAGGCTGCAGGTCAGAGCAGCAGCAGGACTGTCCGGAGTCCCTTAAGACCCCAGGCCTGGCTTCGGGCCCCTCAGAGGAGAGGTGTGTGTGGACAGTAGCTCCTCCTGCTGCTCCCCCGCCACACACGCAGCTGAGCTGAAGGAAGGACCCTGCCCCGGAGGCCATGCATCCCCACTCGCCCAGCATGGTCTCCTCCTGCCTGACTGGTGGGCAGCAGGCCCCAGGCGGAGAGTGCAGGCGATGTGACCACTACATCCTACGCCCAGACCAAGTGTCCACGTGACTTCGAAAAGGAGTAACTTTCATCCGTAGCTGTCAAGTCCTAGACACCCGGCCTCCATGAGGATGGGTCTGCGGGCCCTTTGTTGTCGTGAAGCATTTTTGTATGTTTTGAAGAATTTCCCAGATCTTTTTTTTTTTCCTTCTTTGCTCTAAAAAGTTGCTCTTAAAAACTTTTTTTTTGTTCTGCTTAGAATATTGACAAGATAGAACAGCCAGAAAATCCAGGACAGAGGCTTTCTCTATTTCTTTTCTTTTTTCTTCTCTATTTGTTTTCCTTATGACTGCTTGTAACAGAAAGAAAACAGATACAGACCAGGAAAAGAGACCAAAACCTAGGCCTTGGCCTCTTTGCCCGCACCTAGCTCACCTGTGTGCACAGGTACATACTTGCCGATCAACACAAAAGGGATTCGATCGTTCATTCAGCACCTGTTTACTAAGATTCCTTCTGGGTCAACACCTGTGTGCACAGCAGTGAACAAAGCGAAGACCCTGCCTTCCTTGAATTTACATTCCAGAAACAGGAAACGTAATCCCTAGATTATACCATTTGTCAGAAGATGCTCAGTATGATAGGGAGTGAAAATGACAAGGTGAGGGCAATGGAGAACAGGGGTCTGGAGGTGGGTCAGGGTGGGCCTCACTGAGAAAGGGACATTTGATCAGAGATTTGAAGAGGGAGAAAGCCATGTGGATGCCTGCAGGGATCAGCTGCAAACAGAGGGATCAGCCAGCACAAAGCCCCGAGGCAGAATGCGAGACGAGCAGCCAGGAAGCCATTGTGGCTGATGTTAGGTGGAGCGGGAGAGAAGAGAAGGGGTGAATGCGGGCTGATGAGGGGGTGGATGTTGTGGGGCCTCGTCAGCCGCCATGAGGACTTAGGATTTTTCTCTGGGAAAGGTAAAAGCCAGTGCAGGGTCCTAAACACAGGAGAGGCAGGATCTGACTCAGCAGCGCCTCTAAGTTTTCAGTGGATTATTCTGGCTGTCGCATTGAGACTAGATTCTGGGTGGCGGTTGGGAAGCCCAGGGTGACACTGACAGGGCCACTGCAGTCGTTCCGGACAAGCATGTCGAGGGCCTCAGCCCAGGTGGTGGCACAATCGGGGTGAGACGCTGAGCTTGTCCCGAAGGTGGAGGCAGCAAGGTTCCTTAATGGTTTGGGCAAGAGAGGAGGGGCAGAGACAAGTTGAGAGGGACTCCAAGCCTGTCTAGGGACCCAACTGCCACTGTGCCCCCTGAGGGACGTTGAGGGAGGAACGGGCTTGGGAGGGAGACCAGCATGACGTCAAAGTGGAGATGCTGAGTCCACTGCTGGGGTGCGACCTGAGTTCAGTGAGTAGAGCAGCCAGTGCTGGAGAGAGTGGACGTAAAGCCAGGGCCCTGGATGAGATGGGGGAGGTGAGTGTAGGCAGAGGAAGGCAGCAGTCTGGGCTGAGCCCTGGAACATTCCTGGGAGGAGGTAGGAGAGATGAGGCGGAACCAGCAAATGAGCTGAGTAGGAACAGCCGGTAGGCAGGGGGAAGCCCAGGCGAATGCGGGCACCGGGAGCCCGGCCAGCATCAAGTGCTCCAAGGAGGTGAGGGTAGAGAAGAGACCAAGGTATGAGCCGCTGAGGACGTTGGGGGCTGCTTTGTGGAGGGAGAGGCAACCTGACTGGCGTGGTTGGAGGAGAGCGAGGAAGGAACTGGAAAAACCAAGTGCAGACAACTTGTGTGAACTGAGAGGAGCGGGCCCAACAGGCTTTTAAGAAAGACTGGGAAGAAGCAGCTATGGACGGTAAGAGATGGGAAGGAGCTGGTAGGCTGGTGGGTTGGAGGTAGGTCAAGGACTTCTGGGCCAGCGCCCTGGGGAAACTGAGCTGGAAGACAATAGATGGAGGCTTGACCATCAGCATCGGGGGGAGTGTGCAAGGGTGGCTACTGTCTGGCCTGGCCAAGTCCTGGTAGCTAGGAACACTATAGGTCCAAGATGCAGCTAGGGACATCAAGGAGCATATGGAGAGACCCAGAGGAATCATCAGTCTGCCTTGACCTCAATTTAAAGTCATCCAGCAACTAACTTTCAAACAACTTGGAACAGTAACAATGGACTGAAAGTTACTTAGAAAGAAAGACCAGCCCTTCAAAAAGTCTAAAAGAATAAAACTGTTTTCAAAACCACACGAGGCTGCAAACCTGCTCTGCCACTCACATAGCGGGACCTGGGATTAGAAGCGACCTAATCCTCCAAAATCGGTAGAAGGCGGCCTCTGTTGCCCCCTGGCGGTCAATATTAGAAGCCTGGGCTGCACCGCGACCCACCCAACACGTTGCCACAGCAGGGTAGCTGGGCTGGTCAGCTATGGGCTGTGCAGCCGGGCCCTGAGCCTCCAAGTCATTCCAGAAAGGCTTCCTGGCTGGCGCATGGGAGGAAGGCAGGCAGAAGGTTCGGTGCGGGGCTGAAGGGGAGAGGTCGTCCGGGAGGGGTGGAGGCCTCAACACCAGGTGTCTTGGGCATGTGAGTAAGGAGCTGCTAGTCCCATCTTTGGCTGGGTCCTCAAGGAGCCAGGCCCAGACCCCCCCGCGGGCTACCTGACCTTGGAGGCGTTCCTGGAGGGAAGGTAAGGGCCAGACTCTCAGACTGACCCTTGACCAAGGGTTCTGAGAGCCCCTCCAAGTAGTACCCAGCTCCTTTTCTTATCCTGCCGACGTCTTTGGGGTCAAACTGCTCAGAACTCTCTTTGACCATCCACATTTGCTGACCAGCCTCAGAGACCCGAAAAGCCCCTGCCTCGTTCTTTCAGCCTTTCCTAGACTGTACCCAAACCCCCAGAACCCAGCTCGGCCCCCACCCTCAGGCACCACCTGTTACCCCTTCCTGCTCCCCCTATTTCCATTAGGCACAAGGATCCCCGGGACCCCTGCCAGGCCCCCACTCCCCACTGCGCACCGGTTCTGGGCTGGGCGCAGGCGATGGCCACAGAGCTGCCCAACCCTCAGGAAGCAGGGGAAGTGCCTATCGGGATAATCATCCAAATCAGCATCTAATCTCCACTGTGAATTTGGGGAGGTGGAGGCAAGAGAGCGTCCTGGAACAGTGTGTGAAGGAGGGTGTGAAGATACCAGGACCAGAGGAAGCAGAAAGGCGGGTATCGTAGGATGATCTAAGGATGGGCCAAAGTGGCTGGAGGAGGGCCTTGGGGCTGGGGTCAAAGAAGGGTGAGGGCGCTGAGGCGCCACAGGGGGCTTCGAGCAAGGGGACGCCGAATGGCTGCTGCCCTGTGCAGGGAGGGCCTGTCTGGCCCCGGAGTGGCAGATTGGCACAGGCAGTGCCAGGACCGGAGGCGAACGAGGCGGGAGAACAGGCCTGGTGGGAGTCATCCCGAGTATCAGTCGGGAGGAGAGATGACCGCGGGATGGTAAGGGCTGGGCCGGCTTCTGCTCCCGCGCTGCAACCCAGGCCCGCCAGGAGGCGCCATTGCCCCGCGAACCCGTGCTCGGTGGCTGTCGGCCACCGAAATCTCGCACTTCGGCCTAGAGAGGCCCCGGAAGAGGCGGGGCAGCGCGCGCAGAGACCGCTTCCGGCCTGAGCTTGGCGGGGGAGGCCAGAGTTGGGGGAGGCCGCGGTGGGCGGGGCGTGGGCGCCAGAACTTGGGGAGGCGGGGCTGTGAGGGGACTGTGGTGGGC